CTGCAGGACGGCGCGGCCTCGACCCGTCCCACATCTCCGTCACCGCCCCAGCCGACGTCCAGGCCCCACATCGGCCTCCAGACGAGCTCCCCGAGGAAGGCCTGGAAGCGGATGACGGTCAAGCTGATGCACGTGGCCGACGTGGGACAGTGGGACAGGCGACCAAGATGATACAGGAGATGCGCGACGAGGCGACCGGGAAGATGAACGCCCTGGAGTGCCCTCATCCACCCTGGGCCCACTGGGAGTCAGGCAACCAGCACATGCGCTACGTCAAGTGCCTGAGGTGCTCGAGCATGATCTGGAGAAGGGACCTCACGCACCGCGAGAAGCAGGCCCAGCAGCTCAAGAAGGTCGAGAAGGAGGCCCGGCGGGCGGCGAGGACCAAGCAGCTGGAGACGCCGCCTTGGGAGCCGCCGAAGGTCGAGGGTCGCAGCAAGGAGGGCGTCAAGAGGGCGGCCAGGGCTACTCCAGCGGCGTCGTCCGGTTCGGCCGACACGACGGTAGAGACGAGCAGCTCCGACCTCAACCAGATGATGAAGGCGATCCAGACCAACAGCGAGGTGGTATCGCAGCTGGCGCTGGCGATCCAGCAGCTCGTGCAGAAGGGGGCCTGAGGGGCTCAGAGAGCCGAAGGAGGATCAGGGAGGGGGGCCAAGGGAGCTCGGGGGTCCAGGACGGTCGGGACCTCCAGGGACCCACTCCAGGAGGATCTTTCTGTGCGGAACCCGGGGAAGGAGGGGGAATCTGGCGAGCAGCCTCTGTCGCACGATCCCGCTGTCTCGGCAAAAGTCACCGAGACAGCAGCTTTAGAGCCTCGGGCATATGGTGGGACACTAGGGAAGGTCGGACGGTCACGCTCGATGAGGTTTCCAGGGCCCGGGGCTGGGAATCCCACCGGCTCGATCCAGAAGAAAAATGCCGCCTGATGGCCCAAGTGGCCTGCTACTTAGTTCGTCGGCCCGACCCGGGCGACCTAGGCGAGTGGCTTTCGGACTGGGTCAGGATCCGCTGCTCAGGAGCGTCAGGAAACACCCTCTACGACTCCCTCTCCTCAGACTTCTCGGCGCGGCAGTTGCAGCTCGCCATCGCCAACGAACCCCTGGGCCACGCCACCGTAGAGGCGTGGACAGCTTCGGCGTCTACGCACGCACCTCCGCCCGGCTCGAGTTCGAGGGCTCCGGCTGGACCGGCGTCTCCGCTGGAAGGTATATACTCCCTTGGCCGGGCCCCCTCGATCTCAGGATTGGTTTTCTCCCAGGAAAGTGAGTGCCTGGTTCCCAGGGAGGTCCGAGACGCCGCGTTGGCCGCAGGAGGGGAGGGACCGGTGAGGAAGCAGCGGAAGCGGCGGAAGAAGCTCGTCCAGGACTGGCTTTTGGGGTCCGGCCGCAAACTGATCTTGGAACTCTTTTCGGTCCCACGGGTCGCGGACAGTCTGAAAGGGCAGGGCTATCCCGTTTCCAAGAGCCTGGATTTACGGACCGGTTATGATCTCGGGTCTCCGTCAGGGGAACGTGCGATGTGGAGTATCATAGAGCGAGATCGGCCCGAGGTCATAGTCATGAGCCCTGAGTGTCTGGCCTTCTCCGTTGCCCGTCGTCCCAGTTGGCACCGACTCAAGGGAACCGACCTCGCAGACCCCGAGACCGCCGGCCTCAAGTTCATGTCCCTGTGCGTTAGAGTGGCCGAATACCAGATGGGTCGGGGCCGTGGTTTCCTTCTTGAGCACCCCGAGGGTGCCAGCTCCTGGGAAATGGACTCGGTGCGGGAAATCTTGAATCGGCCGAGCGTCGTGTCGGGGGTTGCCGATCTCTGCCAGTACGGTTTGTCCGTGAAGGGAGGAGAACCCAACAAGAAACCAACCAGGTTCATGACCAACCGTGCGTCTATTTTGCAGCCCCTCCTGCTCAGGTGCGACGGGAGTCATCAGCATCGTCAGCTCTGTGGCAGGGCCCTCGCGCGAGCGGCCCAGAACTACCCCCCGGGACTCGTCCAGGCCATGTGCGAGGGAATCCTGGAGTCAGCTCGCATCGTCGCCCTCGGGCACCGGGAGGAAACCCTGTGGTCCGGCGTTTGGGGGGATCCCGAGTGGCTGGCCGAGAGAAGGGTGACAGGGGTCCCATCCCCCAGACCAATCGACCGACAGGTTGCCTCCTTTCCAGCCCAAGAGGACCTTGGCTCGGACGACGAGCCCGAGGAGGGCGAGGGGAGGGAAGGACTCGGGTCTAGTCAGAGAGCGGGGAGGCAGGCCGGGTCAATCAGTCGAAGTCAGCGCCTGGAGGTTTCCCGGACCCACGTGAACCTGGGCCACCCGTCAAGGGACGCCTTCTTGAAAATGCTGCAGGTTGCCCAGGCTCGGCCCGAAGTTATAGAATACGTCAAGCACGAGTTTCGTTGCGAGCAGTGTGACAGCCACACCCGACCGTCGTGGAGGCGTCGAGCCGCCGTTCCCCGAACCTACCGGTTCAATCGGCTCGTTGCTGTGGACTGTCTGTTCGTTACGATTCTCAGCACTAAGATGACGGTTCTGAACATGCTCGATCACGGCACTAACTTTCAGCTGTGCCATCTGCTCGGTCCCGGGGAACCACTGACGTCCGAGAATATCTGGGAGGCTTTTGACAAGAGCTGGATCAGGATCTTTGGCCCCCCCGAGGTCGTCATCAGCGATGGAGGATCAGAATTCCTGGGCGCGTTCGGCCGTGGCTCTGAGCATGCAGGCGTGTTTCAGCATGTCTGCGACGCCACGTCTCCGTGGCAGAACGGCCGGGCGGAGCGACACGGAGGATGGATCAAGAACGCTCTGACGAAGGCCTCCGATCATGTCCAGCCGACGTCTCATGCCGAGGTCGAGTTGTTGCTTCATGAAACAGCGTCCGCCAAGAATCGATACCACCGGTCTGGGTACTCTCCGTACCAGCTTGTCTTCGGAGAGAACCCCAGACTGCCAAGGTCTCTTCTCAGCGACGAGGGAGTGGACGATATCGGCCTAGCAGATGTCCAAGCAGAGGCCGCCACGGAGGATAGTGCGGCCAGTGCGTTCGCCAGAAAGCATCAGATCCGTGAGCAGGCCAAGAAGGCCTTGATGGCGGCGGACGCCAAGTCGCGTCTCGCCGAGGCCCGGAGATCTCGACCCCATGTCGATCGCGTCTTTCTGCCTGGCCAGTGGGTGTACGTGTGGCGCAAGGTGACAGGGGTGAAAACTCACGCGCTGCAGCGAGACCGGTGGGTCGGCCCCGGGGCCGTCGTCTTTCACAAGGGAACCACAGTTTGGATCGCGATGCGAACCAAGCTATGGAAGTGCTCGGTCGAACAGGTCCGAGAGGCGACGCGTGCCGAGGCGCTCGGAGCCGAACTCGTGGATACCCCGGAGTTTCGGGCCCTTCAGGCCGAAGTTCGCAACCCAGGCAAGAAGGTGGGGGCTCTGGACGTCGAATCCGAGGGTTCCCCCCCGGACGAGGCCTGGGACGGTCAGGACACGATAGGGGCCGAGGCAGGGGGACCGGTCACTACGGGCGGAGGAGGCGGAACGGCGTCGGCTCGTCCCTCGGAGCCCGCGGAAGCCTCGGTGGAAGCCCGGCCCCCTCTTCCGACTATTCCTGAAAGCAGCGAGGTTGTGAGCCTAGGAGACCAGAGCGAGCTTCCCGAGGACCTGCGCCGAGCTTTGGATGCCCCGTACCCCCTCCGTCCCGCTCCTGACCTGGGCCGATTTGTCAGGACCGAACCCCTCGAGGACAAAGAGGACAAGTTGCATCCCCCTCCCGGCCTGGAGGAACCCCCTAGAGCTCGCCCCCGAGTAGAAGGCAGTCCCAGCCCGTCCCCCGCTGCCTCTTCCGCTCCCAGTCTAGTCAGGACCATCGACGGCTGTCGAGGCGATTCGAATCCAGGAGCTTCAGTCGAGCCTGAAAGAGCCAGAGAGAGATCTCCGCGAGTTGCCGCCCGACCAGCTGAGGGATCGACGTCTCGACACACTCGGCGAGCCGGGTCGCCCATGCGCGGGTTGCTCTCTCGCATCCACGTTATCCCCGCGGGTCCCGGGGTGACGCCGGTGGAGCTCCGAGAGTCGGCCTCCGTGGCCGAGAGGGTTCAGGAGTGGGAGGCCCAGAGGAGTTCGGCGGACGACGCCAGAGGCGACCCGGGCACTTTGATCGAACTGGCTTGCGGAGAGGAGGAGGGCCTGATCGAGCTCAGGGAAGAGGACGGGGCTGACGAACAGGACCGGATGCTCCTCCAGGAGTTGGCGACCTGGGGTCCGGGTCCCGGGGACGAAGAACACGGTCCGACCTCCTCGTTCGCCACGGCCGGACCGACTCCAGGTGGGTCCCGGCGGGGCCAAGAGGTCGTCTGGAACAAACTCAGTCCAGAAGAACGAGAGGAGTTCAAGAAGGCGGACGCGGCCGAGTGGTCCGCCATGACCGCCACCAAGGCAGTGAGAGTGGTCCCCCCGCGGAGGCGACCCTGGTCCGTCGGAGGGATCCATCAAGGATTCTCTCGTCGCGCATGGTCCGTCGGTGGAAGCCGCAGGAGGGCACGGGAGCCAGCGAGAAGGCAAAGTCACGCTGGTGCGTGAGGGGGTATGCCGATCCTGACGCGGAGTCTCTGCACGTGTACGCTCCGACTCCTCAGGAGGAGGCTGTGTTGGTTGCTCTCCAGCTGATAGCTGGCAAGAAGTGGAGGCTTCAGATAGCGGACTGTAAGAACGCCTTTTGCCAGGCGGACCCCCTCTCCCGCCCCAACGGGAAGATATATGTCGAGCCATGCGATGGCGTTGACGTCCCCCGGGGGCCCCTCCTGGAACTTGTGGCCCCAGTCTACGGCCTGAACGATGCTCCGATTCGCTGGCACCAGACCTTGACCAATCACCTCAAGTCCCCGGGGTTTCGGCGCTCCCTTTTGGAGCCGTGTTTTTGGGTTGCCCACCATGCCTCGGGTAGTCTCAGGGCTCTTGTGGTGATTGAGGTCGACGATCTTATTGTTTCTTGCGAACCCTCATATGAGAGTGAGCTCAAGAAGTTGTTGACCGGTCGTTTCCGTTTCGGTAAATGGCAGGTCGGTGAGGCCGAGTACGCAGGGAGAAGGATCCGCCAGCAGTCTGATGGGCGCATTCTCGTCGACCAGGAAAAATATATCCTGGAGCAGGTCCGTCCCATGAGACTCGACAAGGAGCGTGTTAAATGTCCCGAGGAGCTGCTCGATGCAAGAGAGCTCCGAGACTATCGCGGCCTGGTGGCGAAGATTCTCTGGGCGGCCCGCCAGTCTCGTCCCGACGTGTCCGGGTCCGCCTCGATGCTGAGCGCCGAATGCCCACAGGTCAAGATAGCCTCGGCTCTCATGGCTAACAAGGTTGCTCGCCACCTCCGGTGTACGGCCAGCTCCTGTCTGACGATTTGGCCCCTGGACCTGAGTGCCGTGACCATGGTCACGTGCAGTGGCGCGGGGGGCCCCGGGTCCGCTAAAAGAGACGGTGCTCAAGGAGGCTGGCTCGTGATGCTAGGAGATTCCAGGATCAAGGATAATCGTCGTTCTCGTGTTTCGCTCTTGTCTTGGAGAAGTCAGAGGCTCCGTCGAGTCGTTTCGTCCACGTTATCGGCGGAGACGTTAAGTCTTTCCGGGGCTCTCGCCGAGGGACAGTGGTTGTGGCTCGTTTTCCGGGATGCCCTGTATGGAGACGTGAGGGGGCCTGAATGGTGGAACTCAGGGACGTCCTGCCCCTTTGCAGTCGCGCTCGTCGACGAGTGTGCCATCGCCGAGGCTTCCGAGGGCGTCGCCGTAGTCGATGCGAAGTCCCTCTTCGATACGCTGTCCAAGAACTGCGGGGGTGCCAAGGCTGACCGCCGCAACGCCATCGAGATGGCGATAGTCCGGGACTCGATGACAGCCGAAGGGACAGTGGTGAGGTGGGTTCCACACTGCAAGATGCCAGCTGACGCTCTGACCAAGGTCGACCCAGGACGAGGGAATTTTGCTCTGACTGATCTCATGCACAAGGGGATGCTGGCGCTAACGGACGAGTCTGGGTCGCTCGACGAGCGATCTCTCAACCTGTCGCTGAAATCCCGGACTCGGAATGCATCGCGACAGGTTCTACAGAGAGAATCCCAGTCCACCGAGGCTGGCGAGGACGCAGAGGAGGCTGAGGAGGAGAGAGGAGAAGGAGGACGCCCCGCCAGGACGCCGAGGAGGTCACCCTCGCGTCCGCCGGGCCTGCCGGGCCCAGTACCCTCCGACCCGGGCCCGGAACCGAAGGGGGGAGAGGGAAAGGGCGTGGTCCGTGGATCTTAGGGGCCTCACCTCCCTGTCTGCTGCTGTGATGGACCTCATGGGACACTAAAGTAGGGGGTGCTGTCTTTTAAATACTCAACCCCCTGTCCCATGAGGTCCCCTAGAGTATTCTCAGAGTTTGATGTGTTTCACGAGTTGTGCGACACTGTGTCCAGTGTCGCTGGGGTGGCGTCCCACAGCATGCGAGCATGACTGTACTGACGCCGATGTGGCTCAAGTGCGCAAAACATCCGGGAGGAGAGGGGCCTCCCGCTTGTCGCCCCGCGCGCCCCCAGGCCTCCAGAGTCCCTCGATCCGCCCGCGAACCCGTTTCACAGAAGGCCAACATGGGGCCAAAACCTTAGTAAAATCAATGATTTTGGCCTGAAAGAAGAGGGGAGCTTTAATTAGCGCTGCCCCCTTCAGAAGGCCAAAATGGGGCCACAACCGTGGTAAAATCAATGATTTTGGCTTCAAAGAAGAGGGGGGCACTTTTCTCCCCCCCCCCGTCGGGGCCAGAATCCTCGTGAGGGGTGTCGTTTTTTAACCCTCCCAGGAGTCGAAAAAGACCCCTCTGACGACCCGCGAAAGGACCTCTCCAGGCCCAGGGGGAGGGGGGAGGGGGAGGGGTAAACCCCTCCCCGAAGGGGAAAAAGGGGGGTTGAGAACAGAGAGAGCTCGCTAAACCACTCACGCCCAAAGGGCTGGTGGGATTAGGGGGAACATGAAGAACAGACGGGGTTGAGCCGTGCGATACGTTCGCCACCAAATACTTCACGATCCACGTGAAATGCACCACGTTTTAGGTGATCATTACCAAGATCAGCGTGAGATACATAAAGACCTACACGAACATCAGCAATATCAGCGTTGAATATTTCGAAACAAGGCCAAGGCTAACCGCGATTACAACATCAAGCGCCAGCTGTTGAACTACAGCGCTCGAGACTTGCCCGCCTTTGTGCAGACGTACCGCCAACGATGCCGAGACCATGCAAGCATAGAGGAACATGGGCGCGAGCGGACGCGGCCCCCAAACGAGTGGGATACAACGTCCAGCAAGGGGCACAGCGTCGCTCCGACACCATCATTATTACTGCGACGACCGCTTTTGCGAGAGCGTCCAAGCACGAGCTGCGTAGCATGCAGCCCAACTGCGACAACGAGCTGCGTAACTGGCGACTCAAGTGCGATGATGAGCTGCGTACTCGGCAACCCAAGGACGAGTGCCGCCACCACTACGACACCAAATACGCCACCAAGACCGACGCCAGGAACGACGCGACTGAACGGCCCGAAGGGGTTACTAAGTGCGTCGTCGAGGAGGTACAGTTGGACCACGGCCGCACCGCCTACGACGGATGCGTGTACGGCTGTGCCGCCTACGACGATTGCGACTCCGACAGTTTTGTCGATAGCAACCTGTACTTCCACGACCCCCAGGACCACTCCCAGGACCATTGGGCAGTCGACTCCGATTCAGACCTCGGGGACTATGAGGAGAGTGTGCCCTCTGAGCTACCGCGGCCACCAGCGGAGCTACCAGGGCCACAGGTCGACCTTCGGGGACCGCGAGCTGAACTACGAGGACCACTCGCGCAGCTACGAGAGTCACCATCAGTGTTTCAAATCCTACGTGTTGAGTTCCGAAAGCCACCAACAGAGTCACGCGAGTCACAGGTTGAACGACGAGGATTGCGAGCTGACCTACGCGAGCCACAACCAGGACTACGAGGCACAGTGGCTGAGCCACGACGGTCGCCTGCTCAGATGCGAGGGTCATCAGCAGAGCTACGTGGATTACAGGGGGAACTACCGGAGACACCAGCTCAGCTACGAGAGCCACAAGCAGAGCTTCGAGAGCCATCGGCAGAGCCGCGAGGTCGACCTGGAATGCTGCCAGCGGGATTGCCTGAGCTGGGCAACGACCAGAGCTATTACAGCCGCCAGCACAGGTACCAGGGCCACCTGTGGCTCTTCAAAGACCACAAGATGTGCTACGAGGGCCACAGGCACGGCGGCGAGAGCCGCAAAACGAGCGTCAACACCCACCTGCTGAGCTATGAGGTCCGCTGGCCGAGCTACGAGGCCCAGATGCGCAGCTATGAGACCCACCAGCGCAGCCACAAGGACTGCGACTGAGCTACGGAGATCGCAGGCACAGCTACGAGCGCTACTCGGGCCACTTGCTATTTTACGCGGGCCACAAACTGGGCTACAAGGGCCACGTGCATGGCCACGAGGACCACTGGCTGATATACAAAGGCCACGAGCTGAGCAGCGAGATCCGAGAGCAGAGCTACGGGTGTCATCAGATGAATCACGAGAGCCACGAGCAGAGCCTCGAAAGCTTCCAGCTCAGATACGAGGACCACCTGCTGAGCTTCGAGGGCAGCAAACTGAGCTACGAGAGCCTGAGAGCAGAGTCCTGAGAGCAACCAGCTGCGCTACGCGTGCTACCAGCGGAGCTACGGGGGCCACAGGTTGAGCTTCGAGACCCACCAGCGGATCTACCGGGGCCACCTCCTCAGCTACGGGGGCCACCGCGGGAGCTACCGGGGCCGCGGGCTGGCCGACGAGAACCTCCAGCAGAGCTACTGGGGCCAACAGTTGAACAATGAGGACCACGAGCTGGGCTACAAGGGCCACGCGCAGAGCTACGAGAACCTCCTGCTGAGCTCGAGTGGGCCGCCCACGACCGAATCTACAGTCGGAGCCGCAGGCTTTGACTCAAAAGTTCAGGCGTGCAGACGGAGTACACGAGTGCACATTTCCAGCAGCTGCTGGAAACAGCAGTGGCAAGCGTGAGGAGAATCATAGAAGCACGGGCCCACTCCATAGCATCGCCGAACGTATCTGGGACACGGCTGTTGATAAGCTCGGCAACGACCAGGCGGAAAGGTACAGCCGCAATCGGCAGCCCAAGGAGATTAATCGACCGATCACCATCGGTGATTGCGAAGGCTTTACGGCAGGTGCCGCCGACCCTGAAGACGAGGAGGAGGAGGAAAAGAAGGAAGATGAAGAGAAGGACGAGGAATAGGAAGAAGAGGGGGGTCAGGAGGAGGAGGAGGAGGAAGACGGGAGTAATCAGGAACAAGAGGAGGGCGGACAAACATTGAGGAGGAAAAGGAGAATAACCAACGATAGTGAGGAGGAGGGACAGGACGGGAAGAAGGCGGAGGAAGAGGAGGAGTAGAAGGAGCCGGAGGAGGAAGAGGAGGGGGACACATGGACGGAGAGGAGAAGGAGGGGAGGAGCCTTTTAGAGCATTGGTGGGGTTGTTCTTCTTTCGGACGTCGAGGAGGCTTCTTGGATCGTCTTGGGGCCATCTTGGCCGTGTTGGGCCGATCTCTGAGCGACACGGGGCTCTTGTGAGCAATCTTGGGAGCGATCTTCGGCATTATGGGTTCTTGTTGGGGCTGTTCGATCTGTCGGGGCCGGCCGGGGGACAACGAATCTGGATGGCGACGCCCCCTGGGACCCACCCCAGGACCACCCCCCAGAACCCCCCACCCCTGGCGGGTAAGGGATCTAAGGGAAGGGGCTTCCCTTTGACTCCACTACGACGTTGTACAATTTCGCTTTGGATGGCACGTTTGAGGAGGGCGCAGGGAAGAGACGGGGTACGACGGATACAGCCAGGATGCGACTGTGACGACGAAGACGGCGAGGAGACGACGAAGACGAACACTTGAACGGAGAAGCCCCTCGCACACGCCGACAGGGTCGGCAAATTTTATCGAGGCGAGGCTCGGCAAGAAATACGTCGACTGCATAGTTACGTGTATGTATGTATATTATATTATATTATATATATCTATCGATGTCTTGATGATTACGGTCCTAGTGCAGGACGGTCGAGAGACCACGGTAGGCAAAAGTACACTCCTGCGAAAGCCGCAACAGTCTGTCGGCATAACATCAGAGGCGGGTTCAGCGTTGCGCACGAAGGTGATCCAAGTGTTACGCTACTGACAGTCTGCTGCGTCTACTTCGGGTACGCTCTGTACAACGCTGCGCGCAAGGCGCGCCGTCTTCGGTACATCTTCCACCGCATCATTCGTGCGGCCCGGCCGCTCCATGTTTTCCTTCCCCCCGCTTGAGGGCTTCCGGATGGTTCGGGCCGGACGAAAGGGGGGGATTGGGAAAGGGGGGTTGCAAAAATTGCTGCATGCAGCTGGTTTCGGCCCCGCCGATGGGCCCATTCCTCGATACATGGGCGCCTCCCGGCGCCGGGAGGCGCCGGGAAAATC